AATACATTCATATATATAATGTATATTATATAATATAAAGTATTATATATTATAAACATAAATTTATATTACAAGTATATATAAAATTACAAATAAGTGTATAGGTGTTAAACTTGGTTACAAAATTTAAAGAGAATTTTCTGGTTTTATTTTTGGTGGACTTTTTTGTGGCTTTTTTTTTAACTAAAAAGAAAAAGTGGCTTTTCCTAAAAATGAAAGCACATGTCTCTACTGATAAAATAACAATGTGTCTCTTCAAAGTGAGGCATACAGGCAGAATTTTTGTGAGTCACAGGCACACAGTCCCTCTTTACAGTTAGTTATATGTGCTCTGTCTCTCCATCCTCCTGTTCATGTGTCTGCATGTTTATATCAATGGATTGTGTCTCTTCTGAACAACTCATACAGGGCTGTTAAATGAAAGAAACAAAACCATGAACAGTTCCCTGATACTCTGAATAATTACTGGATAATAAAACCTTACGTGATGAATAACCCTATTGTCATATAAAACTAGAAACTTCAATGTCAGTATTAAACATCCAGCTAACATACTGCCACATACATTAAGTATTTATGGGTTCAACTTCATAAGTCCCTTAAATACACCCTGCTTTAAGACAGCTGTTTAAAAGATGATAGTAATTGCTGAAGACCCACCAAGCCCTCTTGTTCATAAATTCCCTTCTCCACTTGGGGCCAGATATTAGGCCAAATTTAGTCTGCCTAGTTGCAAATACTGTGAATGGGAAACCATCCTGCTTAAAGAGAGGACCTCTGCCTTTTGCCGTTGTGGTCACTGTTTTTTCCAGAGATATTTTTAATGTAATTACCACTAATTACTACTCAAAATGAATACTGTATATCAACATCAATAGATTAAGAACATGTATAAAAGATTAAGAACATGTATAAAAGATTAAGAACATGTATAAAAATACCTTTGTATACTGTTCTGACTTTTTTGAGGAAGAAAGTGCACTAAAAGTTTTTAAGAAGTCAAATTTTGTCATAAGAGCCTCCCCAGATATCGTTACCGTTTAATCCAAAAGCTTAGGGAAAAAAATAGCAGCTATATCTCAGACCTCATCAATGTGCCAAAATGCTGAGTAAAGGTTTATTTCTTTTTGCTGGCATTTTGTCATGCTTTCTGTGTGATTAGGATCACTCTGGAGCTAAAAGCTATTGATTTACTAGAAGACTGCCTCATGTTCTATCTTCAGCCCTATTGGACTGATCAAACAAAAAGACCTTTTAGCAAATATGGCACTTTTAAAATATTGCTTACTGTACTATATTAAGATCCTCATGATGTAAGAGCTCAGTACGTACAAGGACATTATTCCATATATGCTAATTAAAAATTGACCAACCTTTCCTTCAGCGTCTCCTGCTGTTACCTTCTCAACCTTGTTCCTGTTTAAAAATTTCTTCACCCATTCTTCTACTTGAACATTGAACTTCATGAAAGTCACATAGCAAAAATATGCTATCAGTAGTGTTAAGCTTTCCCACCACATGATCAAGTTATCCAGAAAAAAGATGATTAGCAAGATCAAGTCAACGATGTAAAAGGAGACATCTCGAAAGAGTGGCCACCAAGTAAGGTTCAAGATCTCTCTAGAAAATAAAGCACACATTCCGATAACGAATAGGATATTGAACACAGCAGATCCCACTATTGTACCAATGCCGACATTGCTGTGGGATATAAACACTCCTATTAAAGAAGTGAAGAGTTCTGGGGCTGACCCACCAGCAGCCATGAAGGTTGCCCCTGCCACATCATCAGATATCGTCAATTTTTCAGTGATGACAGTCAAGGAAGGAACAAAAAACTCATCACAGACTATGGCTAAGGCTATGAACATGTAAATCATTCCAATTACATGGAGGATCACTGCTCCCTTTCTCCTCTCCTCAAGAGAGAAAAGGTCCTCTGGGTACTCTCCCTTGGGATGATCATCCGTTGCATTGTTGTGTTCAGCTTCGTATTTCATAGAAGTGTGTGGGTCTGGAGTGCCATTTTCATTCTCTTCTGTGAAATCCAACAGAGTTCTTTGGTGCCCACTCACCGGCTTTTGGCTATCTAGGCTGCTGGCCAATGCCATGCTATGTGGTTCCATCTTGAAAAAGGCACTAATTGAAAGAGAGAAAGTACTAATGGCTGCTACACTGACAAGAAGCCCTATAATTCGTATCAGTCTCAGTTTTTTCCTAACATTTTGGTGCTGCCTGCAACCGAACAGTGGTTCCTCCAAACACCACTCCTCCAAGACACCAGCAAGTGTTTTTTTCTGAAGAGCCATTTTGTGTTCTGTGTGAGATGCTGAGGGGGTCAGATGGATTTTTCACTCATACTTTTCTCCAGCTTTGAAGTTAGAGGTGTTTTAACAGTTTTCCCAGAATCAAGTGCTTTTACTCTTCACAGGAAGCATTTTCTTCATCTTAAAAGGACAAACAGGCATTATTAGTATCAGTGAAACCGCATGTGATTAGAAGCATCTAAAAAGCATTTTACAGACGAGGTTGAATTTAGAATTTAAAGTAGAATATTACCAACTGTAACATAATACCTTGTCACATCCCATCAGACACAGCAACAATATGTTTGTTTCAGCAGTAACCCTGCGGATAACAGTCTATCAATACTCAGATCATTTTATGCCTCTGAGCCACTGCTCTGCTCAGCTGCTGAAAAAAAATCCTAGTGGAAGGTAAAAACTGTCCCTAAATGTTGCTTAAGAATGAAGAAACTACTACTTTAATGGATACACCAAAGATTACTACCTTCTATAATTACTTTCCACCATTATCATGTAACGCCCAAATTCCAAATGCAGGGGCAATTACATATGAAAAGCAATCAAAGTGCGAACAAGCATCTCATCAGACCTTTAGGCAGCTGAGGCAGTATTAATTGAAACGTTATGCATGCATAGAGTGACAGTCATTGATGTGTAGGAAGAACACTACGCTGCTGAAACAGGATCGAAATGAAGATCTAATGCATCCATAGTTTCTTTAATTCCCCTGCAAAATTGACTCAAGTTTACACAGAGAACTCGGACTAGCTTGGACTAGCTCAGACAAAATTGTCATTCACCTCTGGTTTAATTTTGTTTTATATCACACATTCATCTATAAATATAGGAAATAGTAAGAATACCTATGTTGTAAGTATCTTTTAAAAGTGGTCCTCTTACAAATCCTTAAGAATTAAAAATCCTTAAATTTATGCAAGAGTTGATCCTGAAATAAATGAAACAGTGAGAAGTTACATGATGTGAGGACTATTCATGTATGCCAGAGCTGAGCATACTAGACCAACACGACTTTTAAAACAGGAAAAAAACCACTATATAATAGCAGGTGCTTTGGTTACTGAAATTTGAATATATTTAATGTAGAAATTAGTTACGCATGCATTATGCATAGTAAGCTGCATTTTATATGACACAAAATACAAAAGACTTTCTAAACATAATTGATAATCAGTACTATTAGGGTCAAAAAATACTTTGTTACACCACTTTTTCATTTGTAGTAATATCTGAATATTAAACAATCTATTCATCAGTAGAACATTAATTCTGTATTCTCAAATACCGAATTACAACCATTAATGTAGTTATTTACATAAAAGTTATTAAGTCACATGCTGTTTCTCCTGATTTTTATAAACAGCTCCCACACTAAGGTGTCATAGAGACACACTCATCTGCGAGACGCAGCACTACAGCAGAGACAGTCTATTTTCCACCTTAGAGTTATTGCTCACCGGGCTGCCATAAAAAAAAATTAAGCAGTGAAGACCTGGGAATAGCACTACCGCTGCTGTGCGCGATTTACGGCGGGTGGGCCAATCACCCCACACCCACACACGTTATAAATCACCCAAATGAGAAACGGGAGAAGCGCCCGGGATGTCCTCAGCCCTGAAACTCGCACAG